AAAACGCTAAAATCGTCCATATTGATAAATCAATCGATAAAACATAATTTTCTTTATTTAAAAATCATTCAAGAATAAAATATACTCTTCTTAATCTTTATCTAATGAAGATGAGCTTATTCAAAGTTGAATTAATTTGATTCGAAACAAATATTTCTTAATTTTAGTTTAAAATATCGCTTTTTCGTTAGACTTATATTTGGGATTTTTTTCTAAGGAGAACACCAATAAATTTTAAATTTACTGTATTTACCTCTCTTATTTTCTGATAATGTTGTTTATGGTCGTCTTTATTTACAAAAACCGACACGTTTACACACACTCTCTCTCTCTTTCACTCTCTTTCTCTTTCTCTCTCTTTTCTCTCTCTCTTTCTCTCTATTTCTCTCTCTCTTTCTCTCTCTTTCTCTTTTTTCTCTCTCTCTCTTTCTCTCCTCTTTTCTCTCTCTCTCTTTTCTCACTGTCTCTCTTTCTCTCTCTCTCTTTTCTCACTCTCTCTCTTTCTCTCTTTTTTTCTCTCTTTTTTCTCTCTCTTTCTCTCTCTCTCTTCTCTTTTCTCTCCCCACCACACACACATACATACAAGACAAATTCTTTTAAAAATACTGATGGTCGCTGAATTGCAAGCTTTTCCTTTTATGATTAATAAGTATATATTTTATTTCATAAAATATCACTTAACCGCTACAAATTCACACAAAATTTTAAAAGTTTATAAATTATATTAATTAAAATTTTAAAAAAATGAAACAGTTCTAGTGAAAATTAATTACTCATCGAAAATATGTTTTTCTTAAGACAATAGTGTCCACAATATATTTTATTGGTAAAAGCATATAAGATTATTTCAAATTAATTTTACAATATAACTGGGGGTTTACATTGTCCAAAAATTTGATGATTTATCTTCTCCTAGGACTTCTCCTTATCACTAATATAAACATTAAGCGCTCCCGAAAAAAAAAAAAAAAAAAACTTCACGTAATTTCATAAAATTAAGTGTGAGGTAATAATTAAGTGCGAGGTAACAAATGAAAAAATAAAACATTTCAACAAAATTTCATTCTTTTTTAAATAAGTATCATTAAAATCTGACAATTATTTCAATTTTGAAAAAATTCAAAATCAATGCGTTTTTCGCGACAGAAAGACGCTCAAATTTTCCATGTAAATTTATCGCCTCACATTGACATAAGAAATAAAACAATATTTTAACCAAGATTTCGAGAAATCTAAAAAAGATTTTAAAAAATTCACATGAAAAATATCCGTTGGTCTTTCCTCTTAATAATAACAAACATATTTGACAATAAAACAGTACCTAGTTTTATACACACACACACACACACATATATATATATATATATATATATATATTCATATAGATAGATAGATAGATAGATAGATATAGATATGGATATATAGTAACAGAATTACAACATATCGAACAACGATTATATTTTTTGTATCCTCGATTTTCTTTTTCCATTTTATCATATTTTAAATTTTATTTTCTTACTTATAATTTTCTCCTTTCTTTACTTCCACTTATTTTTGTTAACTTTACTAAGGTTCAGTATAAAATAAAAAACTGTAACCTTAATTATTTACGAATTTTGATTGATCTAAAATACAATTCCTTAATGGACATTTAAATTCGCAAATAATATTTGCCCTATTTAATTTTGTTTTAGATATCGTTATCTCATATATATATATATATATATATATATATATATATATATATATATATATATATATATGGGATAACTATATCTAAAAGGTGTTAGATATCAAGAACAGTTTTGGAGGAAAGATATATGACAAAATAGAAAAAGTTTTCGTGTGACTCCGTTTCGTCCCTAAGGACTTCATGAGACTAGGTTTGTCTATGTTGATGCGACTAGACATACATACGTCCGAGGGACACTGATTATGTTAAATTTAGAAAAAAAAAAGATACATATTATTTTGTAAATTTACTTTTTTATTTGAGTTTTCGGCCTATAATCTAACCAATTTTATTTACATTCTTTTTATATCTCTTATCTTTGTCATGAAATATCCCACATTGTGATAACAAGATCTGCCAAGAATCGGGAAATATTATATGAACCTGGGCACAAATTTACTGTGGATAAACTAGCGATTAAAACGCTTTCTAAACATTTTCGTCTAAGTGAATTATTTTCTTTTTTAATTACAGTACCATTATATATATATATATATATGTGTGTGTGTGTGTGTGTGTGTGTGTACCCTTTAACTTTCGTAAAAAAAGGTAACGATTTGTTATTAAAGTTCCTTAAAAATCATTGCATCACCTGTTTTTACCATCACCTGAAGAATTACAATCATAGTATTGAAACATGACAGCTTTCGTGTAGTGATTTAAAAATGTTTTTATTATAATCACTTATAATAATTCTCCTATAATATATATATATGTGTGTGTGTGCGTGTGTGTGTATATATATATATATTTATATATATATATATATATATATATATATATATATATATATATATATATATATATATACAGTGTAACCCGATATAAGAAAGTTGTCGGGACCGGAGAAGAAGTCTCTTATATCCGGGTTTGGTCTATTTTGTTTAGGTAAGTATGGGAACACTTTGGGACCAGAGAAAATCTCTCTATATCCGGGTTTCTCTTATATCCGGGTATCTTATATCCGGGTTACACTATATATATATATATATATATATATATATATATATATTGGTTGCAACAAAAAATTGTAACGTTTCTCAAATGTGAATTCGAGTTTTTCTAACCCAACGTTGGAATTAACGCTTGCGTCGTCTCGTAACAGTCTGTGTTCGATTCTCGGTAATGGATACGCACTGCTAAGTCCAAAATATAGGACGAAACGGCCGTCCACTGTTTTCTCCATTCTGTTGAGGATTCCTTGAGACTTGATTAATTACTTTTATATATATATATATATATATATATATATATATATATATATATATATATATATATATATATATATATATATATATATAAACATTTCTGAGTCGTCTAAGACAAGTTTGTCTTTTATTCATATTGTCGATTTACATATATGCTCTATCTGAAATTTTACACACACACACACACACACAAACACACACACACATATATATGTATATATATATATATATGCATGCATGCATGCACGAGGAGATAACGGAGACCAGCTCGGATTAAGGAATCGGAGAGCCGAGTTCGAATTACAGTCGGGCTCCTTGTATCCACTAACTTGGGAATTCTAAGAATTCATCAGTCAAATCATACGTGCGGGTAGTCTGGATATTTGGTTCTAAGAATTGTGCTGGACAAAAGCAAAGGGAGATACATCTCCGTCTATCAATATATATATATATATATGATAAAATATGCTTTTAATGTATGCTATATTTATGTGTTAAAGTGCTCAATATCAGGGATAGAGCGTATGTAAATATAAAAGTTGACACTGAAATCAACACACAACAGCGACAGTCTGCTTTAGGCATATAGGCAATCGTCAGGCCTGACGATTGCGTATAAGCATGAAACAGGCTGTCGCCGATCGGTTTTAATTTCAATGTCCGTACTTATATATATATATATATATATATGTATATATATATATATATATATATATATATATATATATATATATATATGTATATATATATATATATATATATATATATATATATATGTATATATATATATATATATATATATATATATATATATATATACGCTTATTTTTTGTTTTTGTTTATGACCTTTGTTATTCAAAAAATGAAGTATAATTTTATGAAATTATATAGTTGCAGTTATTTGCAATGAATTCTTTCCACTTATCCAGGTATCTTTTCTTTACCTTTTTGAGTAAAGTTCCACAGGTTTTCTTTTGAAGAAGTTTTCGAAGAACTCTGGAATCTAGTTTTCATTAGTGAATCGTTTGCTCGTCAAAGCGTTTTGTAGTGTTCAAAGCAAGTAATCATCGGTTGGCGCAAAGGTCAGGCGAATATGATTAATGAATCAGTTGGTGGCGGTAGAACAAATCAACCGAGTTCCAAATTTTTTTTCCTATGTTATTTTTTTCTATGTGCGGCCATTAGTTGTCATGGAAGGGAACAAAATTTCCCCTATTTACGATCTCAGGGCGACCATGATTTTATGGGCATATTGCAACTGATGGATGCATAAATGTGCATTTTTAGTGTTTCATGAACTCTAAATGTATAATAATATCTGATTCTCCTTTCATTCTTTTCTAACTTGATTTTTTTTCTTTGTTCTGTTTCATTTTCCTTCATGAAATTTTCACTTTTCATTCTTTGTCAATTTTCTTTTCTTTTTTACTTAATTCAATTTTCTTTTCTTCGTCACTTTTTCCTTTTCTTCCGCTGTTAGCCTTTATTCCTTTCCTCTTTTTACTTTTCTTTCTCTTTTTTAAGTTACTTTTTTCAAAATTAGTAGGTTGCTTACTGCTTATCAACTTCTTAAAAAATAAAATAAACGTACGTTTATATTTTATTCAATTATATATTCACCATTATTTGCAACGACTTCTTGTCACTTATCAGGCACCTCATCGGTACCATTTGAGAAAAATCCCAAACGGTTTTAATGGGAAAATTTTTTCGACGAACTCTTGAATCTGGTTTTCATTAAAGAATGTTTCCCTCCGCCACCAAAGTGTTTTGCAGTGAACGAAAAATATGATTGTTGGAGGTCGAACAAATTAAGCTAATTCAAACTTCTTTTTTTTCCCGTTGTGTTATTCTTGCTGGAAATAACATTGCGTTGTCAATGAACAACATTTTCCCTATTGACGAGGGCAAGATACTTTCTCACCAAACCTTTGTGGACACGTTGCAGATGCTTGATGTATAAATATGCATTTAATGTTTCATTACATTTTGTGAATTCTAAATGAATAATACACTAATGATGCCAGCATACACACAATATTATCTTTCTTCCACGAAGTTCATTTTTCGGGGTCGGTTGCGAGTCGGTTGTGAGTTGGTTGCGGGTCGGTTGCGCGTCGGTTGTGGGTCGGTTGTGGGTTGGTTGCGGATTGGTTGTGAGTTGGTTGCGGGTCTTTTGTGGGTCGGTTGTGGGTCGGTTGCGAGTCGATTGTGGGTCGGTTGTAGGTCGGTTGCAAGTCGGTTGTGGGTTGATTGTGGGTTGGTTGCGAGTTGGTTGTGAGTTGGTTGCGGGTCGGTTGTGGGTCAGTTGTGGGTCGGTTGAGAGTCGGTTGTGGGTCGGTTGCGTGTCGGTTGTGGGTCGGTTGTGGGTTGGTTGCGGGTCGGTTGTGGGTCGGTTGTGGGTTGGTTGCGAGTTGGTTGTGAGTTGGTTGCGTGTCGGTTGTGGGTTGGTTGTGGGTCGGTTGCGAGTCGGTTGTGGGTCGGTTGTGGATTGGTTGCGTGTTGGTTGTGAGTTGGTTGCGGGTCGGTTGAGGGTCGGTTGTGGTTTGGTTGCGTGTCGGTTGTGGATCGGTTGCGAATCGGTTGTGAGTCGGTTGTGAGTTGGTTGCGTGTCGGTTGTGGGTTGGTTGTGGGTCGGTTGTGGGTCGGTTGCGAGTCGGTTGTAGTTCGGTTGTGGGTTGGTTGCGAGTTGGTTGTGAGTTGCTTGCGTGTCGGTTGTGGGTCGGTTGTGGGTTGGTTGCGTGTCTGTTGTGGGTCGGTTGCGAGTCGGTTGTGGGTCGGTTGTGAGTTGGTTGCGTGTCGGTTGTGGGTTGGTTGTGGGTCGGTTGTGGGTTGGTTGCGAGTTGGTTGTGAGTTGCTTGCGGGTCGGTTGTGGGTTGGTTGCGTGTCGGTTGTGGGTCGGTTGCGAGTCGGTTGCGGGTTGGTTGCGGGTTGGTTGTGAGTTGGTTGCGGGTTGGTTGTGGGTCGGTTGCGAGTCGTATACAACTCATTTTCCATTGCTTGTAATCATATTTTTAAGAAACGGATTATTTCCCTGTTGTGAAAGGAGACTTCTTGCTAACGATAAACGATCCGCGAACGTGAAACTTGCTTTGACTGTTTATTTTCTAAATGTCGGCATATGATAGATTGTGATGTGTTTAATATCATTGCTACGTCCTATGAGTTGTTTTAGTGAGTTCATGGGGTACATTGCCAGTGATAGTACCTTTGTAGCGAAGCGATCGACCCTGCTTTACTCGGGTAAATTGAAATGCGGAACTGTACTGAGCCACAGCCTACATCCACATTACATCCGACATTATATCTTTGTTATGAATAATGAAGGTTGGTCTCGTCTTGTTTCGTTATCTCCGCTTTGACTATCTCAAAGAGGACTATAAGAGGACACTATACGCGAACCTTATATTCTCATTTGAATGCAGACTTCACCTGCGTACTTTTATCATTACAAACACTTCAGGTTCTAAAAACTAATTAGATGTTATAACATCTAGAAAATTAAACAAAAGATTTAAACATTCTGAACTAAAAATCAAACATTTTATCTACTTGAAACACAAGGACATAAACTAAAACATTCATTTCCTTGCTTTGCTTCCTGCAAAGTTAAATAAATAATTAATGAGTTTGTCAGATTGATATCGTTTTAGTTTATGAAATTATTTAGAAGTTGTAACATGTAGAAAAAATTAAAATCATTGCTTTATAAAAGCTTGAGGAACCCTAGCCTGCAGCTATTACTATTCTTTAAGAAATTCCATTATTTTACTATTTATTGTAAATCAAATTAGCACATATTTCAACATGGCCATACTAACAAAACAGGTTTGTTTTTAACCAACATTATTACAATAAAACAATCAAAATATATATGAGTTTGTCATATTGATACCACTGAATAGTCAAGAGTGGTCTCCCCTTGTTTCCTTATTCTCCTCTTTGATAGAGCTATTTCTGTTTACTGGGACGGTAAAAGGACGCTATACGCGAACTTTGTATTCTCAGTTGAATAAAGCTTTCTTAAAGCCCACACCTGCGTACTTCTCTCATTACATATTGGTCGTTTATATTTGAGTCTATAAGCATTTACTTGCTTCGAAGATAGGTAAATATTGGGCACTTATATTTGAGTCTGTTGGTTGAGAGAAATATTTAAATATGGTAAATATTTGTTTATATTCGAGTCTGTAAACATTTGATTATTTCAGTAACTGGCAAATTATTGTGTTATGAATACTCAAGAGTGGTCTCCCCTTGTTTTGTTACTCTACTCTCTGAGAGAGCTATTTATGTTTACTGTGACTGTAAAAGGACACTATACTCTAACTTTGTATTCTCAGTTGAATAAAGCTTTCTTAAAGCCCACACCTGCGTACTTCTCTCATTACATATTGGTCGTTTATATTTGAGTCTATAAGCATTTACTTGCTTCGAAGATAGGTAAATATTGGGCACTTATATTTGAGTCTGTTGGTTGAGAGAAATATTTAAATATGGTAAATATTTGTTTATATTCGAGTCTGTAAACATTTGATTATTTCAGTAACTGGCAAATTATTGTGTTATGAATACTCAAGAGTGGTCTCCCCTTGTTTTGTTACTCTACTCTCTGAGAGAGCTATTTATGTTTACTGTGACTGTAAAAGGACACTATACTCTAACCTTGTATTCTCAGTTGAATAAAGCTTTCTTAAAGCCCACACCTGCGTATTTTTGTCATTACAATCTTATTACTAAACACCGGATTTTTTGGTTACACGTGTCTGTGTTGCTGTACCTGCTTTTTATTTTCTTATACAGTGAAATTAATAACAATCTTCCTCGACTGAGAAGTCCTACAAAAGAAAAATTGTGCCTCTGACAAGAATCGAATCTGCATCCATTTTTTACCATCAGAGAAACTGTGTATATTTTGGCTGCAATCATTCAATGAATTTGTCCGACAAGGACAAAGAAAATTTTATCAGTTTTTTTTATTAAGGTTTTCCAATGTTCTTGCAGTTTTCCCTTTTGGGGTCGAAGAGAGAGGACAAATTCTTTCGTGATTATTATTGCTTCAAGCGCTTTTGATTAGTTCACTAACCAATTTCAAAGGGTTCGTTGCTAATATGTTTTCAATGTGTGTATTCTAAGATGTTTTGTATGGAAGAAATAGAAATTTCTGGGATAGTCAAGGACACATTCCAAAAGTTGGGCAGAGTATTGCGAGACAGGAGGATATCTTTGGTAACAAAGAAACGAATACCGAACTGTTACGTGGCATCTGCCCTTCTTTATGGCAGCGAATGTTGGACGATTTCCTCAAGGCTGAAGAGGAGACTGGAAGCGACAGAGATGTGGTTCTACAGAAGGATGCTATGGATATCATGGGCCGAGCGTATGAGCAACGATGAGATCTTAGAGAGGTTGCAAACAAGGAGGAGGCTTATACTTAATATCAAGAAGAGACAGCTGAAGTTTCTGGGACGCATAATGAGGAAGGAGTGCCTGGAGAATCTGATACTCATGGGTCGAATAGATAGAAAGAGAGACAAGGGAAAACAACGCGTGACATACCTGGCAGACTTAAGCAAGCGGATGACAGAAGGTGATCTGGGGGAGGAAGCAGAGGGAAGGAACTTGTTGAGAGGTGCATGGGATAGAGGGAGGTGAAGAGCCATGATCACCTACGTCCTGAAAGGACATGGCACATAAAAAGAAAGAAGCTGTGTTAGAGAAATGTGGTAGTGGTGGTGGGGTCTTTTAAACAGAGCCGGCTCAAAGTGCTGGCAACTCAGGCAGTCGTCCGGGTCGCCATCTTGCCGCTATGTCATGTGTTTGCGATCTTCCAAACCAAAAAGGAAAAAAAAATGAGAAAATAATAAATAAAATGAAATAAAAAAAAAATTAAATTTCTTGATTGGAGTGAAATTTTTAAGAATTTGTTTATTAATTTCTTTCTGTTATGGAGTGATGATCAAACACCAGAACAGAAAAATGAATGATCGAGCGTTATTCTACATTTTCAGTTTTACTCTTTGTGAAAATTTAAAAGAAATTACACTTGTAAAGGTGCCAAACTTCAGCTTGCACCCCCACCAGCTTCTGAGCTGCCATCAAACCTAGAGCCGGCCCTGCTTTTAAAAGACCTCCATCACATTACTGCCGTTGTAGAATAAAATAAAGTTTGGATTTGAATTGTTTTATAAAAAGAGATCTCAATAATCTGAAATCGACATCGACAGATTTAATGGTAATCATGGTATTATCAACAATAATTTTTAATGGGTACAGGCTGATTTTTATGGGTGTCAAGATGTTTTACGTGGCACTGATGTCCCTTAAATGGTTTGCCATCCTTCGAGAGATAGTTGTCGTTATATGTCCACTGTAAACATTCGGTTTATAACGCAGCCTTCTACTGGTCAACTGAATCGACATATGCTACGTTACTCGTTTGTCCTCTGTGATTTTCCTTGTCTGACAAAATTTAAACAGTTTCACTGTTTTTGATATTTATTTTTTGTGATTTAGATTTGAGAAGCAATAAAAAAAAATCGAAGAATTTGACGATGACCGACGAAATCAGAATCAGAAATTGAAATATATCGATATCCTTAAACCCTCAAGCAGAATTTGCGACGGGACGATCACGTGCAAAATATCTACCCTGAAATCCTGAATTTCAATGAACCGGTCCAACATTTGTCTGCTGAATATCGACAGGGAGGAGATCTGGCACTACTTAAATAGACTGGTCCTCTAGGGAACATTTTTGGGGGAGGGAAACAATTTTTATACGTTAACATTATTTACACCTTAGGCCGTGACCTTATTGATCATTATCGATTAGATGTAGCTGTAGAATTCATAACATCGATATAGTGTCAAATCGATCCATGACTTTTACAGAGTTATTTTCTTAGTTGCTAGTTACAAATAGCAAGTTTAAAAGTGTGATAATATGAGTATCTGAATATTTTTTTTTAATTTCTGAATTTTCTACCCCCCACTTAGTTAAAACAGCGATAGGCTGCTATTAGTAAGAAGGCTTAGATAATTATGGGTTATTGTGGGGAAGGTTCAATCCCTACTGCCACATGAGAAATTCTCGACCTTGAAATCGTGGGATAACGTTGTATAGATAGATGATCATCTTAGGTGATCCTAAGATAAATTGAAAATTTTATGTTTTTTATAGGAAAAAAATTAAGCATAATTATTTATTCTAAATGAACAATAAACAGACATACTTTTATTAATCTATGTCATTTTTGTATTTTTTATTTTAAAGATATCTTAGCAAAACAAATTTTCAAAGGGACGGTTATTTCCTTCACACCGCTATTATGATATATACACTTTTGACTCCATCGGAAATTTTTATTGTTTTAAAAAACAATGATTATAATTTTAATAAAACCTAAACGTATGAAAGTGGATCTATTCATTTTCTTTATTCTTGAGAATTTACAACAAAGATGTTAAACATTATTTATTAGATTGAATAAAAAATCGTTTTCATAGTTATTTATAAAATAGCAAATAAAAAATATTTTCATTGTAGTTAGTTTATATATTTTGATAATTTTTCAAATTTTTATAAATAAAAAGATTTCTTTTCAAAATCTATTTATTTATAAAATGGTAAATAGTAAATCTTTATAAATATTAAATAATAAATATTGTGTTGTATTTGGTCTGCATATTACTATAATCTTGTGAACAAATAATACCGAAGAAATAAAAACAGTGTACAATAATAGCAGGGTCAGGGGAATAACCATCCTTTTGACACACTTTTGTCGAAATATTTTGTAACGACCCCACAAAAAATGTGTTTTCATAGTCAAAAGAGTTTAGTCCAATAAATCTGTAAATATTAGGGATCGATTTGATACTGTATCAATATTATGAAAAAGACCCCACCTTCTAAATAGATAAAAAACAAAATCAATATTTTCAAAGTTAATGTATAAAAATTATTTCCAAAAACATTTTCCATATTGTTTTACGAGTGGACCACTGTAATTAAGTAGTCCCCAAGATTCGCACATTAAGCACTGGTGTTGGAGGAATTATGTTTTTTGTTGTCAATTCTTAAAAACTCATATTATATATTGTAATTATTCATATATAGCACATAGCGGCTTACGGCCACATCACCATGAAACACTAATTCCTGTACGATCACCGAAATTAAGCAACGTCGTGCCTCATCAGTAACTAAATGGGTGACCGCCTGGGAATACCAGTTGAGTAAGCTTGGATGTGAGGATGGTGTAATGAATAATGACTCGGAATTGTTAATCTGAGAGCCGAGTTCCAATTCCAGTTGGGTTCATTCTATTCACTTACGGGGAAGCTATAAATATAATTCCCCCCCCCCAGCTCCTGGGTTAATTAGTAAGAGTTTTGTCATTAAACCATTATTATCTAAAAATATCTTGCAATTTAAAAATATTTTCTGGCTTTAAATAACCTACAAAGAGTTGATAAACTGTAAAAAAAGAGACAATACAATACACAGTTTTTCCAGACTTAAGCTAAAAGGTAGAGTTGCGTATTATACATGAATAATTACAGTAAACCTGTTTCTACTATCACGTTGAAGTTTTGTTTGTTTTCTGTGGTAGTCTAAGTAGTGCCAGTGGATCCTTTGAAGTGTATCCGCTGTCAGGGCCACCTATCGAAATAATCTTTGTGGAAAATAAAATAAAAATAAAATAAAGTATTCTTTTCCTGACGATGTTGAGTTGAAACATTTTGTACACATCGCGTACAGTAGACAAGTTGAATTGATCAAATATTCGTTTGCCATATTCATTTTACTTATTACTATTGTAGGTATATCTTTTTGAACGGTATCTGCTATTAAATGACCGCCAAACTCCCTTTTTATGGTTCTTACGCTGCTAAACAAGAAACGGAACAGAAAATCGCAAAAATTTTTTGCAGGAGCTAATAATAAAATTCCAATTGCAAGAATTGATGAGCTTCGCTCCTTTTTTTTTTTTTTTTTTTTTAAAAAAAACAGCTTCGAAGAGAGTACACGGAAATACAAGGTGGAAGAAGACGCGATTCCAAAACAGTTATAAAATCAACGTCACATTAAGACGAGTCCTGTGGATGGCTTTGTGTTTCAAGCCTCGAAGTGGAAACAGGTCCATTTATGGAGAGGAAAGACCAAGTATTGAATATTAGAAAGAGAGATAAGCAGAATGAAAGAAAGAAAGAAGCAAAGAAAGAAGTAAAGAAGGAAGTAAAGAAGGAAAAAGAAGAAAAGAAAGAAAAAAAGGAAAGGAGGAGGTAAAGAAGGAAAAGAAGAAAGCGAGATAAACTGAAATAAAGTTAGAAAGAAAGAAGCAAAGAAAGAAGTAAAGAAGGAAGTAAAGAAGGAAAAAGAAGAAAAGAAAGAAAAAAAGGAAAGGAGGAGGTAAAGAAGGAAAAGAAGAAAGCGAGATAAACTGAAATAAAGTTAGAAAGAAAGAAGCAAAGAAAGAAGTAAAGAAGGAAGTAAAGAAGGAAAAGAAGAAAAGAAAGAAGTAAAGAAGGAAAAGAAGAAAAGATAGAAGCAAAGAAAGTAAAGAAGAAAAAGAAGAATAGAAAGAAGAAAAGAAAGAAGTAAAGAAGGAAGTAAAGAAGAAAAGAAAGAAGCAAAGAAGTAAAGAAAAAAGAAGAGGGAAAGACAAACTGAAAGAAAGAAGCAAATAAGGAAGCAAGGAAGGAAAAGAAGGAAGAATGTGAAACAGAATGAAAGAATGAAGTAAACAAGCATAGAAAGAAAAAAAAAGAAGTAAAGAAGGAAAATATGAAGGAAAGATAAGAAAGAAAGAAGAGTCAGTACTGCATGTTGTACTTCGTTATTTACTGTTCAATTAATATGTACTAAACACCAATTTACAACAATAATAAAAAGACTAAGAGCAAATTAGTGATTAAAGTCTTTTAATTGTATATATTTTTTTTTTCAATTTTGCTATTTTAATTTTCGCAATAAACATAATACATTTATCTCTAAAAAGCTGTGAATATTGTTTTTTTTTTCTCATAAGATTTTTGGTGGGGGGGTGTCAAAAAGTCTATGGTTTGTTGCGTGATGTGTCTGCGTGTGTT